GGGCTGGCTGCCTCTGTGGGGGTCTGGGCCTGTCTGCCTGTCCACGTGTGGGAGGAGACGGACTGAAGGGGGCCTGGAAGTGTCCGCTGTTGGCGGCCAGGAAGGGAGCTGGGTTTGAGCGTGTATTCCTGTGTGTGTGAGTGTGAGTGCGTGTGAGAGTGAGTGTGTGAGTGTGTGTGTGTGTGTGTGAGTGTGTGTGTGTGAGTGTGNTGAGTGTGTGAGAGTGAGTGTGTGTGTGTGAGTGTGAGAGTGTGTGAGTGTGTGAGTGTGTGTGTGCAGTCCCCGCCTGACGAGGGATGGGACAGAATGGAAGCTGGAGTGCGCTCGCCCTGTGGACATCGGATCGTATCTGTGTCCATGAGGCCGTGAGTGCGTGTGTGTGGCAGAGGGGGCAGAAGTCACCGGGCTGGCGCCACTACCAGTCACCAGCTGGGCCCCTGCCCCTTCACACCTCCCCTCTCACCAGCCCCTTCTTGGCAGCCGCCCTGTTTGCAAACACTCTGTCTTCCTCTCGGTGCCCTCCTTGGCCGCCAGCCCAGCGCAAGGCTACAACTAGAGCTGGATCAGGTGTCACTCTCTCCCTGGCCCCTGCACACACACATACCCCCCCCAGTGCCCCTGCTGTGCCTACGAGGCATTGCCTGGGGGGGTAGCAGTGTGTGTGACAGTGTGCACAGAGTGACCCCAAGGGCCCTTTGAATCTAGGTTCAATTCAGAGAACTGTGGACACAGACCCCTGTTCTGGGCAATCCAGGTGAGCTTCCTGGAGTAGGGGTCATGGGTGGGAGGTGCATTGTGGGAGAACATGATCAGGATCTCCTGCAGCCTTATCCATGAGTTGGAAATAAATCTGAAATAACCTGAGCAGTTAGGCCAAGAATATGTCCCCAAAAAGCTGGAAGTGCCAGGAGAGGGTGAGGCTGGGTGAGAGCGAGTGGAGAGGAGCAGGGGGCAGAGGTGGCTGCAGATGGTGTTAATTGGTGGCAGCAGCTGAGGCTTAACTGGGAGGTGACAACGACCAGGATGGGCCCCAGGGGCAAGGGAGGGCAGAAATTCCCAGGAAGGGGCTGGAGGAGGTGGGGTGATGCTAATTAGCTATTAGTTAATTAAGTGATACCTAATACCAATCATAATACTTAGTGCTGATGAATCTCCGCAGCCTTCCGTGGGCTCGGTCCCTTGGAGCCGCAGGGGGCAGTGACGGCCCAGCGCAGCCCTGTATCTGCCTGTGCTCGCAGCCGGTCAGGGCGGAGGTGGGACTCAAACCCAGTTTAGCTCCTGCCTAGGGCTCAGCTCTTCAATGGCAGGGATGCCTTATGTCATCAAGGGGTGAAGGGGCCCTGTGCGGGGCACTGGGGGTGTGAGCGCGAGCGTGCGAGGCTGTTACCACGAGTGTGAGTGTGTCCGTGTGTTGGTGTGACAGTGTGAGCCTGCTGTAAGTGTGTGCACGTGAGAATGGGAGTGTGAGTGTGTGAGGCAGTGAGTGTGTGAGGCAGTGAGTGTGCATTTGTGCATGAGGATGTAAGACCGAGCATGTCGATGGAAGGAAGTGTGTGGGTGGGCATACACACGTGAGAGTGAGAGTTGTGCGAGCAGGTGTCTGTGTTGGTGAGGCGGTCACCCCTCCCTTGGAGGAGGCTGGAGTGGGGGCTCCTAAATGAAGACAGAAAGTGGGGGCTGCAAAAGCCTTCAGACCCACCGAGGAGTTATCCAAAGGCAGACGACGGTGCGTGCTGGCGACGGCGAGGACAAGCTGGGGCCCTCCGCAGGCCGCCGGGAGACGGTTACCGGGTGGCCCAGCGGTTCCGCTCCCAGGCGCCTGCCCACAGTTAAGACGGGCGGCCGCGTGAATGTTCACAGCAACATCGCTCACAGTAGCCAAACACTGGAAACCACCTAAATGTCCGTCAACAAATGAACGGATTCGCAAAATGCAGTCGGTCTATATAATGGAATACCACCCGTGGGAAGGACGCCCTGCCACACCCTGGGAGCAGGGAGCAGGTTTCCGAGCTCGGAGCCCCCATCCCAGCTGACCTGTCAGGAAAACGGACCAGGGTCCACTCGATTCTTCAGGGTTTTCTTTTTTTTTAAAAAAAATATGTCTTTATTGATTTAGGAGAGAGGAAGCGAGAGGGGGAGAGAGAGAAATATCAGTGATGAGAGAGAACCACCCGCCTGCTGCCTCCTGCCCACCCTCTACTGGGGGATGGAGCCCGAAACCCGGGCATGTGCCCTGACCAGAATCGAACTGTGACCTCCAGGCTCCCGGGTGGGCTCAACCACTGAGCCACACCATCTGGGCTTGATTCAGGGTTTTCTGTGGGGACAGTCATATCACCAGCCGGTGGGCGATGACAGGTCTGGTCTTGGGCTAAGGGAGCACCTCTGCTCCTCCTTTGCTGAGGGGGGGGAAAAAGAGAGAGCACCTTTGTGTCTGTAAACTGTGAACGGTTTTCTCTACATCTGTCCAGCTTGCTGGGCCTCTGCAGCTACTGTTCTAAGCTTGTTGCAAGCTGGCGGGTGCACCGGGCTCAGCTGTCCCGTGGGAGGTGTCTGGGGCCAGGGCCAGCAGTACGTGGGGGCTGGCCACCCATCCTGGCCTCGCGCCCTGGGGCCAGATGTTTGGGCTTAGTCACCTGGCCAAACAAGGATAGAGTGACCAGATAATTAAACGCCTGCTTCTTCGGGGCTGGCAGAAGGTGGCAGGGGGTGGGGGACCTTGGGCCCAAGTGCCTGACAGCCTCCAGGACCCTGGCTGGTGGAGAGAGGCCAAGAGCCTGAACCCCTGGCTAGGTCCTCTGGGGTGACCTGGATCCAGGGTCAACCTGCTCCCCTCTGGAGACAGGAAAGGCGACTTTTGCTCCCCAGCTGGGGCACCATTCTCCGAGCCCCTGAGGGCCCAGGAGGGCAAGGGGAATACAGGCAGGAGCCGTCTCCTCAGCCCTTCCCAGGCCAGCAGTTATTTAAGTCTTGGGCTTAACGAGCCCTAGGAAACAGGAACCCTCTGCGTGCTCCTTTGCCTGTTGGCAAGGTGGACAGCCATGTATCAGGACCCCCAAAATCACCCCCCCAGCACGTAACTGGACCCTGCTGGCCTTTGCAGGACTGTGGGGGCGCCAGCTCACTGACCTTCCAGGACCTGTGAGCCAGGCTCAGACCGGAGATCAGAGAAACAGGGAAATAGTCCCTGCTCGAGGCAGCGGGAGCCAGATCAGAGTTGGGGGGGTCTCCCAAACCAGTCCCCAGTACACAAGCTGAGGCCCAGAGAAGGGCTGGCATGGAAGCCCATCCCCCGGAAGCCCAGGCCAGAGTCAAAGCAGGGAATCAGCATCCTGTTATTCTGGGGTAGTTCTCACTCTGCTGTGTGGCCTGAGGCAAAGAGCAGGCCCTTTCAGTCTCCTCCTGAAGTGGGGACCAAGTCCCTCCCTCCCTCACAGGGCTGTGGGGAGGCCAGGAGGTATTGAGAGCCCATGCCACGTCAGGCACAGAGGGACACAGCCAGGTGTGGGCGCGATCACACGGTTAACGGAGCACACGTCGCATGCTGAGCCCTGTCCTCCCTGCACTCACTCATCCAATCCTCAGGCGGCTGGCACTGGTGCAGCCCCACTGTACAGGGGAAAAACTGAGGCTCAGAGAAAGCAAAGGAACTGCCCTAGTCCCACAGGCAGGACACGGCCTTGAACCCAGGGTACCTGGACTTGAGCACAAACTATCTTCTTACGAGCGAGGGCCAAGTGGGACCAGCCTGGACACCAACGTTCCGTGACCTGAGCGGTGACGTGGGGGAACACTCAGCAATACCGGCACGGGACGAGCGCGTCTCAGGAGCCAGCCGTGCTAAGCGCTCTCACACACGCATTGACTCATCACTTCCTCACCACAGTAACCCAAGGCTATCCTCTCCCACAGTCGGGCAGGCTCGGAACAAGATGTTATGTAACTGGCTCGGGTTCGCACCCGCAAGGACTCAAGCTCGAGCACTCAGGCACCTTCTCCACAGTTCACACCTCTCTGCTGAGCTATGGGAACAGTACGCTCCCCAGCGGGTGTTTGTGAAGATGAAATGACATCACACGCCCTGGCCACGGTGGCTCGGCTGGTTAAGCATTGTCCTGCGCACCAGAAGGGCGGGGGTGCGATTCCTGGTCAGGGCACATACCTAGATTGTGGGTTCAATCTCCGGTTGGGTGCGTGCGGGAGGCAACCAATTGATGTCTCTCTCACATCGATGTTTCTCTCTCTCTCCCCCTTCCTCCCTCTCTTAAAAAAAAAAAAAAAATGACATCACACAAGCAAAGCCCTGAAAACAGAGCCATTGGAAGTATGCAACGAATATTAGTCACTGTTGGGACTATCGAGCACTCATGCACTCAACAGACCCTTACACTCTGTGTCAGGCTCTCTCCTCATTTACATCTGCAAATGAGACAAAGATTTCTGCCCTCACGGGGCTTCATCATCACCGTTATCACTGTCATCGTGACTGTCTTCATCAACATCACCATTACCACCATGGCCATCACCACCGCCATCATCTTCATGACCATCATCTCCGTCACTGACATCACTGTCACCATCATCTCCATCCTCGCCACCATGATCACCTTCATGTACAGCATCTCCATCATGGCCACCATCATCTCCACTGTAATCATCTTCATCACCATCATCATCGGCAATCATCATGGCCATCAAAACCTTGACTATCTCCATCACCACCATCCCCATCCCCCTCATCACCACTGCGATCATCTTCGTCACCATCATTTTTGTCACCATCGTCACCACCATTACCCCCATCATCACCACCACCACCATCTTCATCATCACCATCATCACTGCCATCGCCATCATCTTCACTGTCAGAATCACCACAATCATGCTCACGATCATCATCACCACCATCCTCGCCACCTTGTACGGTACCTGTGGTATTCACAAGCAGATAAGTCTCACGATTCCACCTCTGCAGGGTTCCTCTAGTCTCCCAGAAACGTCATCCACATCTTGTTTTTAATTTGATACTTTGGTTTTCCTTTTTTGGTTGGGAGTGTCTTAAGCCCCTCCAGTCCCAAAGAGGGTCACACATCTCCCCTCAGAGGCCTCTCTTCCTCCTCTGGGATGGTAGTGGTCGGTGCAGGTGTGCTAGGGGGCCAGGCCATCTCTGCCAGTCTCTTCGCAACCTCACCCAGCTGCCCAAGACCCTGGGCAGCCTCCACCAGCTGGGTCAGCCCCAGTCCCAGGGCTTGGCGTTCCCGCTGGTCTTGCTCCAGGGCCTGGGTCAGCCTCTGCAGCTGGCTACTCACGTCCCTTACAGCAGCCACCAGCTCTACCAGGGCAGGTGGCTCACAAGCCATGACTCTTACAGGTGGCACTGGGGCTACACATGGGCCAAGGGGACCTGGGCTCTGACCAGGGATTGGCCTGAGGGTGAGATTGTCAGGAGGAGGTTGATCTAAGGGGTGGGCCATAGAGGACAGGTGGAGGTCAGTGATCACAGTGGGTTCAGAGGCTGAGTGTGGGATCTGAGGAGGTGAGGGGGGTAATTTGTGGCTATGGCTCCTAGGTGGTTTGAAGTCCTCAGTGGATGGTGTGTCCATGCTGTGGGCTGGAGAGGGCCTGGAGGAGTTGGACTCTGAGTCTGGAGAGGTATCTAGGCTTGACATATGGGATGTGGAGGAATGAGAGGTCCCCATGGAGGTCAACCGGGGGTGCAGGCTGGGCTTGACTGTTGGTTCTGGAGTGGGAAAGGGAAGTTCTGTTTCTGAGGAAGTTAAAAGGGACCTAGTAGTGATCATAGGGTTTGAGGTGGGGCCAGGAGTCAAGATGGGGTGAGCAGTGGTGGTAGGGTGAGGGCTTGTGGTAGGGTGAGGGGTCATGGCGGTGTGAGGGGTCATGGTAGGGTGAAGGGTCAAGACAGAGTAAGGGATTGTGAAGGGATTAGGGGTTGCTGTGGGCTGAGTGGTTGTGGTGGGATGAGAGGGTGGGGTGGGGTGAGAGATCTTGGTGGGGAAAGGGGTCATGGATGGGTGAGAAGCTGTGGCTGGGTGAGGGGTCCTGGTGGTGCGAGGGGTAGTGGTTGTATTAAGGGTCATGGTGGGGTGAGAGGTCGTGGTGGAGGGAAGAGTGGTGGTGGGGGCAGGGCTGATGGAGTGGTCTGGGGGTCCAGAAGGTTCTGGGACGGTGTTGGGGTATAGAGTTGTGTCCTGGCCTGGGTCTGTGTCAGGTTCCGCGGTCAGCTCTGAGGTAGGGGACGGGCGAGTCACAGCTGCTGGTGCAGAGGGGTCCGAGGTCAGTTCTTTGGGCGAGGTGGGAGGTGGAGTGGGTGAAAGCTCAGGGGTCAGCGCTGGGACCATGGTGGCACCGAGGGTGGACAAAGGAATGCCAGGGGTTGTCACGGTGAGGTCAGAGCTCGCCCAGGAGGCCGGGTCTGGGCTGGGTGGCACAGTGTCAAGAGGGTGAGAGGTCGCCTTGGTCGAAGGTGCGGCTGCGTCGGGGATGACGTGTGGCGCCGAGTGGGAGGTCACTGGTGGGCCCGGGGAAGGGGCGGGGGGCGCCGTCCTGGCCGCCGTGGGCCGCAGCAGCCTGCGCTCCGGCCACGGCTTCCTCCCAGAACCTGCGGGAGGAAAGATGGACAGCTGAGGTCAGTCTGCCCCGCCCACCCCACGGCCATCGGCCAAGGACGGGACGACCAATCGGAAGATGCACAGCCTCGTGATGTCACCGGTCGCCGGCAGACTTCACCCTGCCCCATTGCCCCTCCCACGTCTCCGCCTCCTCCGATGTCCCCGGGCGCCACCTGGCGGCCCTCC